ATAAATGAGCACATAATTACAGTGTAGTTTGTTTCTTTATAACAAAGGAGATGAGGGTGTTTACCAAAACATCAATACATGTTTTCTATAAAATCAAAACGAGTCCAACCCGCTCAACACCTGGCTCTAGGGCAAAATCTTTCCCAGTTATGTAAGAAACTGCCTTTTTCGAAATAACCATGTTCACCCCAGGAGCAGATGCGCTGATACGAGATCAATGTATCAATTTTCTTTATATTATTTATACAGCCCCGCCTAAACATCAGAATCTCTGATCAAGTGGTCATTTCACAATTTTACTTATCATATTCATAAACTTGATTTAGGCCCCTACCAGGTTATTTAAAACCCATGCAGGAACAGGCAGAGAAGATTTTCAAAGAATTAAAGTATTACACTATATTCATTACAGGTTAAAGAAGCAGCCTTGCTCGCCTTAATCATACATCTTTGTTTTTTTTTTGTCTGTTTTATCTAAATACAGAGGATGAGAGATGTTTAAAAGATCATACATTTTCAGTATAAATATTGAGTATGTTCAACAGAGTTCTTCCGTAGCACCAGAACCCTGTCCCTGTGACAATAATTTCAGCCTTGCGAGAACTCGGTGCGTCTTCTTATCATAACCAACAGTTTGTCTGCTTGGTGACCGGGAGTTAAAATGATATTTTTTCAAGATTTTCTGTCCCAGCCCTATCGCAAGGTGGATGTAGACCATAAAATTCATAATTTTGTCCGTATCTCTCCTTGATGTTATAAACTGATTTAATCTTTTTAATCAGTTTCTAAGAGATAGCAATAGTTTACCTCAGTGGTTCGTTACCTTAAAAGTGGATATTTGTTTTACTGTTTCAAGATCTCAAATCGGAATATCTCTCGGAGTAGTCAACTGAGCTAGTGTAATGGAAGAATTCATGCTCCATCTAACTGTCTAACTGCTGCATTCAAATGTTTCCAAACGATACCAAATAGTGATATTCTCAAATCTTGTAAGTCAATATTCATAGCTTAAGGGGGATGTCCGGCCACCTATAGTACAGTGAGAACAAAATGTAAACATTTCTTCAAATGGCTAAAATACATTATATTTTGATCAAATTTTAAGTCCTTATGATAAAGATACAATAAATATGCATAACTGAATGCATGTTGTGTATATATAATCTATACTTTTGCAGAAAAATGCTTTTGATATGCTCTTTAGAACTGCGCAGCTACAAAATTCAGCAGAGCCTTAAAAAATCCAAAAAAATATGCAAACCGTGCAATAATGTTCTCTCTACAACCATTTGTTGAGAAAATGTCTAAATTTTGCACTTTTAAATGATAATTTCAAGTTCAAAACAAGGTACCGTTGTCTTCAAAAAGAGTGTAAAGAACCATGAAAGTAGTTCATGGATAGCAGCACGTGGTCTATTTTTAGCACAGAATTTTGTTTTCCAGACCTCTTGTTAATATGGAGGGACATAACAATCTTTAAATGTAGAAGAGAATTACAGTTGCAAAATATTTCAAATAATATGAAATTTTTAAAAGAGGAAAAGTGTTATAGTGTGGCTTGAAGTAATTTATTTAATATTATTATCGAACAGTTGTTGAATAGTATACGTATTGATATAAAAAAAAAATCTTAAACTCTTTGATTCCAGGTAAGGTAAAATGATCAAAGTTAAAAATTAAGAGTTTGTAAGTTTGCCACAGATAACTTATATTAGCTATCAAAATTTTAATTATCACCAATGAAACCCAAAGAAATTAGACACATATAATCGATATGAATGACATTGTTTCAATACCTACTAGTACGAGGGGTTATCAAAAAGTTCGCGAACTATCTCTATATCTACAAAACCACAATGCAGATTAGAAACATTAGCAAAACTATATATAAATATCTATAAATAGCATATGCTGAAGTTTTGCTCCTTGTTTGTGATGTCACAATCTGAAAATGACGTCATGCAGGTACTTGTGACGAAAATTCTATATGCCCATATTGTCAAAATTACAATTTTACAGAGTAAAGAAAAAAAATCAACATAATTAAATATTTTATACCATCTTTAAAATGACGTTTGGTGGTCTTCCCAACTCAGGGAAAGATTATTGCGTCCGTATTTATAGGTGAGAAAGAAATTCCTTAAAATTTAAACATAATTGTTGACAGAAGAAAAAGAAAAAAATATCGTGTAATGGGATGTAAAAAAAAATGAGTCGGGCCATTTCTAGACAGTAGATTGGGAGAAAGGGCAACCAAATATTTTTATATTAAGTGGTCTTATAAGGATAGTACATATTTCATCACCTACTTAGTAATGCAAAATTTTTAAATCTTTTGCACTATTTTGAAAAACAAACATAGGATTTTCGGGGGGAGGGGGGGGGGGCTCTCACTTTTTTTTGCGATAATAGACATAGCATATGCAATGGACCTTTCTTTGCAAACATTGTGCTCGCTTCTAAATTTCAAAGAAACAGCTCAATATATTTTATCAAGCTTCGTATGTTCAATGAGCGAGAGCTTACAACGTTGTCAACATAATGAGACATGATGCGTTTTTATGTCCAAACATTACTCCATACAATGTGTTGGTCATTGCAAACAATCTAGCTATTTATGTGAGGTGCCTGAGGGAAATACCTATAACTGCCTATCTTTTCTATCTAACTTCTAAACAAAATATACATATGTACCAATTTTCGAATGTAAGACATGTAATTACAATTTGTTTTTCATGCACCGAATATTGTTTAACATTTTCAAATTAAATGCCAAGCATCCTCCTTGCAGTGCCTCATTTGAAAATAACTTCTATCGCCACAGAAAAAATACCCGCCGTAAACACATATGTTTAGGACATTTTTATCTCTTTTTTTTTAATTAGTTTTAAAGAAACCAACAAATTATCAAGACTTGTTCCATGAAAAATTAAATATAATCATTGTATTAAACGGATCTATCCACAGCAGATATATGCACATGCCAACCACGTGCTCAGTGGAATGATATTTACGAGGAAACTCGAGCTGTAAACAGAACAGTTTTTCCCGATTTGCTGGAGTGGGGTTAAAATCGCGTTTTTCATTATTCAGACGATGCGATGCAACAAATAACAGTAGTAATATTCCATAATGATTATTACTTAGCAATTTCTTGTCTTGATGTTATTATGGTCGCATTTATTCTAAAATCAATGTTAATCGAACTCTGTGTGACAGAGGAATGGCGGACGAAATAAACACATTGCCTAAGGAAGACACCCATATGAAAAATCAAATTTTCAAGAATTATGGATAATGACAAGAAAAAAGCGAAACAAATGGTTGTAGCCATATTATCAACGAATCAAACTAACAGCGTTTTCAATGCATGTATCATCTCGTGAATGCTGTAGCTGCGCAGTTCTAACTTGATTAATTTCCTGCTAATTAAAGCAAAATAAACTTAATTGTTTACTAATGTTGGTCTTTAACAGTAGGTAATTAGTGCATTAGCACTTTGAGTAACTTTGGGCTAGTTTAGTACAGTATTAAGCGCATTCTTGGTATTTCTCATTTTACACCAGACTATATCCAATATGGCTTGTACATCCCCCTTAAGGTAACTTTTTTCGGTTGCATCCTCAACAATGTACTTTTTTTAATTGTTGAGTACCAATACCTACTGGTTCATGACATAGTGTACGTCCTTAGGATTTCTCAGCAGACTACATGTAAGCACGCTGTTTTACACAATATCATTTAAAATCTTCCTTGAGAAAAAAAATCAGCATAAAGAAAATCAATCAAAGAACGAGAAAAGCAGAGAAGTACGGAGTATTGGTTTATAACATGATGATCATGTTTATCAACTTAATGATATAGTAACGCTCGGCTCATCCACAGAACCGAGATAAACAACGTACCTGCAGTTCTCTACACAATGACAATTCATTGTTATTAATGACCAAATTAGTTTTCATCACGTACATGTATCCTAACCACTTTTAAAACAAAGTATATAGCGACTTTTATTCGTAACATTTATGTTTTATCAATAAAGAATTATTTCATCAAGGCAATGACAAAATAACGCCTGAATTATCATATGAACATTTTGACGAGAATAATAACTTGGATCATGTCCATTATGATTTCTGCTGACTATGTTGCACAACGTGAGGACGGACAGCATAATAACATAATAAATGCAAAATGTAGCAAAAATATTATTGCGTCAATTACAGCTCCAGCATATAGTTATAGACCAAATGTCAAGCGGCATATTACCATACCATTCCTCCCTAGTTATGTACTGAAGCTCACAAGTATGGTACAACAAGAGTTACTGTTCTTAATTACTGAGAAACAATCAAAACCAATGCAAATAAAAAAAAATAATAATGAACTGCTTCAGCAGTGTTTTCTTGATCATAAACAATTCCAATAATAATAAAATCTGAATAATGTTTGTAAAAAAACAACTTCAAATTCTTTTTTTAAACTTTGTTTGTCAATTTATTATATGTGTCTCAGCAGAGGTGAATCTACTTGTAGATGAGTAAGAAGTGCAGTTTTAGTGCACATACAATGTAGCTATGCACGCTCATCGCTAAGACGCTTGTACACAAGGTCTGCATGACAGACGGGTTTATTTGGTAGTGCGATTCATTTTTTTCTGTTCTTGGACAACAATAAAGCTTATAGCTCAGATAAATCATCTAAAACGCATTAAAAATAATGAACAGCTCTGCTACTTGAGAACACTACCACCCGAACGAAATAGACTGGCATTTTCTGTCTCATTCGTATATCGGGGATCAGACAGGCAGGCCAGTCAATAGAACAAAATCAATGAAACTACCCATTTCTATATTTAGAAACACAACTCAAATCGATCATATTCGGATCACCTTGACTGCCTCGGGTACCCTACAACATATAAGGTAAAATCACCCGAGAATTGCCAAAGGATCGAAAGTGATAAAAATCCCCCTTTCTATATATAGAAGCATCCAGAAATCAAGGTAAATGATGATATGAAATTCCTGAATTCGGTTCAAAGTATTCAATATTGTAAGTATTCTGTTGATGAAATGTGACAGTTATCAGATATTATGCTTATGGGTGTATTATAATGGTAAACAATATGCTTAACATATGACACATTAATCGAGCATGACAGACCAAAAACTGCCCTCAAATATTTAACATGGCGATGAATTCATTTTGAATTAATGTGAAATGTTGACTAACAAATAATTCATGGTTTTAAAATAATGGTAATTAATCAGCATTATTTCCCTCAGAAAAGCGTAACATTAGAGATGTTAGGTTTATCTACCACATGATCAAATGTCACAAAATTGACAACAGGGCTTGAATTTTCCATCTTCAAGTTAAGAAATGAATTGTGTGTTTGATGAAAATGAAAATATTGCCCCCAACAAGTTTTATTTGTCAAAAAAAAAATGTGGAGCTTTGTCCTTAGGCCTGTTTGACTCAGGAAAGTCTGCACACATGAAATGCTAATACGAAACACACACTGCATAAACAATAGGTGAAGGTATTTTATTTCACAAACTTATAAATATCATTTACTTATAGAACATTCTATATGTGTTTCTGTTTGTATATCATTGTGTAATTCAGATCTTTGTTGAAGCTTCGCCTACCCTTGAGAGTATTAACTTGAATAAATTTAGGTGTTTCATGTGAGATACTTGTCACTTTAACCTTTTCATTTTTAACAACAATTTCATACCTTATCAATAAAAAAAATCGCTTGTCAGTGTATATATTCTCTATCAAAAATCACAAATGTTTTAACACTATATAAACTATTTTGCAAACTAGACCGATCAAAATATTATTTGCCATATTTCAAATCTCACTTGTCTCTGTGTTTGGTCCATTTGATCTTTTAAATCACGATTTATATTTTTTATGTTCATTTCCGATCAAAAGCAAGGAGAATATCCATTTTTTCATAAACACAGATGTTCGAGTGTACTTTTAAATGCAAAAATGCAATTGATAAGATACTTAAAAGATTGTTTATAATATGTGTATATACTAATTAATGATATTAATGCGTTTCAATTTTTGTGAGTCGTAATAAGACAAATCAATACATGATTTTACAAGTTCGCTTAAAACGCATTCTCTAGAAATTCAATCAAAAATAGTATATATTATACAGCACAGTTACTGATGATTTTTAGTTTAATTTGGTGAATTAGCCTCCACAGTACAATTTCAGCGAATCCAAATGCGAGATTTATGTTGCACTCTGGGAGTAGCGCTTATTCCTAATTTAATGTAGTTTGAACTTTTGTGTGTTTTCCCTATAATTGAAGCGTTTAAAACATGAAGAGACTGTATACTACATTTTAATGTCTGTATATGCTGTTGTACATAATATTTTAAAACTAGTCTGGAAAACAAAACACCGATAATATATGTTTAGTAATTTTTGAATATTTTTCTTTGCATTATTCATTTAAATTTCATCAATTGATATTTTTTAACATCTGATGGTACTACAATAATCTCAAATTGAGAATATATTGAAAAACTATCAGTACAGTGTAGGTAAAGTACGTTGTGTATGTCCTTAAGTGGTAGTTTCAAATAGTTCACAAAATAATGGCTTGCATTATAATTATAAAATTAATCTTATATGGGCATAGTTTTGTTTAGTTTTATCTTAAATGAAAGAAAAATTGCGTTTTGCCAAATAAAGGTGGATACAGATATGAATTTAATATCTATATAATTTGATAAATACTGTTGAAAAGTAGAACAGATTGAATTTGATGTAAATGTTTATTTCAGAGATCGAAGTATCAAAGAAAATGTTAGATCATGGCCGATGCACCTAGCCCCTCAGTGTTGTACTTTGACCCAAAGAAAACTACTGAAAATTTTGCACGACTCTGTCAGTTCCTGGTGACAATATGCAGTGACGTCATGAGAGATATTCTCAGCCATTATATAAAGCCAGCCAATCTAAGAACAGAGTTGGATAAGAATAGATCAAAACTGGAAAAAATAATGAATAAACTAGAAAAAGACAAGCTGTATCCTCCACATTCATCATCCAGTAGTGTTCCGCCAATAAGATCCAGAGATCTGGATTTATCTTTACTCTACAAGATTTTGCGCAATATATGCAATATTCCGACACATATAGCTGGTTGGGGGGAACATCCTCGAGCAGGTGATTTTTCCTTGGCTGCATGCATAGAAAGGATCCGTATTTTACGTAATTCCATCTCTGGACACTCTACCAATGGTACTGTTGATGACGTGGAATTTGAAGATTACTGGAGAGAATTAAGGAGGTCAGTTGTTGAGATTGAGAAGGAAATCACTGGTAGCGACAGATATGAAAGAGGAATAGATCATTTATATGACTGTGACTTGAACCCGGCCAAAGCTAAGGAATATGTGGCCCAAATTAGGAAATGTTCAGGTAAAAAAAATTATCAATTGTATTTTTAATTTTGATAATTTTATTGTTGTTGATTTTGTTCTTGACCCATTACACGTAACAACAAATTTTTTATCATTACTTTTACATTCATTAAAATTGAAAAGAAAAATGCTTGCTTCATTTTTTTTCTGATTTACTTACATAATTATATACTATTTTATATCTTTATAGGGGAACTGAAGGTTAAGCGAGGTAAGAACATTTCATAATCCTTTCAAATTGTGACAATTTTATGTATTGCGTAGAAATGTATACGAAAAAGATTTTCCTTTCATTTATGAATTTTGATTTTAATTTCAGAGAGAATTGATCTGGTTGAAGGTAAATAAATGATTTTTGATATCATAATATATAATTAATTCAAAACTTGATGAAAAATATGCAAATTATCTCAACTACAGACAGATATATAATTTTGTATATCTCTTAACTTTTTACATTGACAGAGGAAGCAAAGGCGAAAAGAGGTAGGTAAACGATAGGATGTGCGTCTCAAAAATTTTAATTGAATCTGATTAACAAATAACACGTCCAAATAAAGCTGTTGTACCTGAAAATGTTCAAATAAATTTTTTTATAAAGACTATATCGACATCAAATATATTTTTTTTTTCATTCTTAAATTCTTCTGATTTTGTAATAAGATTTTTTTGTATCTTTAATGGCCTTTCTCTTTAATCAAAATATTTGATTAATGGGATTTCGTATCCCATTTGTGTTGTAATAATGGTTCCTAGAATATAATTTATCATCAAGGAAGAAAAACAGTGTATTACTAAGTATTATTTGGTTGCACGTGGCAATATTGATTAATATCAACAGCTATAATCTTGCTAAATTTAACATAGTACATATGACAATACATGTAGCTAATTTCTATATAAACTTTTACGATAATAATTGTTTTTGTTTGATATTTTAGTAAGACTTGAAAATGTAGAGGAAAGACAGTCGATCTTAGAGGCCAGATTAATTGGTAAGCTACCCTTTCTACATTCTTAGCTCCTTTATAACAAGGTTAAAATCAAATTTAAATCAGTGATTTAATTAAGTTATCAATTTAATGATTGAATGGAAGTGTTTTTTCTATATATATATACTTGAATTTACTCTTTTATAATTGATATTTTAAAGACAATATTCATATCATCATATACATGTACTGTCTATATCCAATCAAGTATTTTTTTCAGATCAGCGGTGGTGTGTGTGTGTGTGTAAGGGGGGGGGGAATTTACAATATCTGACCCAGATAAAACCTTTTTACCAAACGTAGCAAAACCTTTTTTGGTGAGGGAGAGGGGGGAGTTTTTATTCAATTTATTGAATGGTATGACTTCTCCTGTCAGCAAAACAGGGGTCCGTGATTTTTAGGGGACCACAATCAAGCAATCTTAACATTTTTGTTTATTTGCCCTCTCTCAACTTACTGTAAACTTTATGGGTTGGTAGATAGGATGAAAAATAATTCTTTTTCCAAAAAATTCTAACATAATTGTTGACGGAACAAGATTTGTTTGACTAAAAGACAAAAACGTATCGTGTTCTGAAATGTAGAAAAAAATGAGTCTAATAATTTTAGTGAGTTGGTCGGGATCGAGAGGGCAACTTAAGATTTTTTGTTTAAAGTTGACTTCAAAAGTTTTACTTTAAATGTTTTGCCATTTTCATAAATAATTCGCTAATGTGAGGGTTGTCCCGTAAAATCGTGGACAAGGCATTTTTCTCGAAAAGTAATGGGCGCACTAAGCTGAAAATCTCAGTAAATGCTTATTTATCATATTTAAGTGCATGATAATTTTTTTGATAAACTATAGGCAAAAATAAAGATTTTATTATGCTTGAATGCGCAAGGGGTATTGTTCTACGGCGCACGGTAAAAAAAAACCAAGGTTTTATTAAAGAATACAAAAGTTTGAATTCAAAATAAATGTTTAAAATACATAAGATTTGGATTAAAGTTATCCTAATTTAATTCCACAATCAAATCTGTAGTCTTTGTAAAAAAATTTAAGGCATTTGCTTAATTTTTGGCAGTTTCTCGAGCATACGAAATGGAAAAGTGGTAAACACAACACACGAAAAATGGCGACGTTTTATGACGTAACGGCGCACCGGAGAGCAGTTCCGTTTTAATTCAATGTTGTAATGACACCTTTAGAGACTTGAAATGATCATAGAAGAAAAAAGATAAAAATATCACAATATCTTAAGTATACAAATTAAATAGGAGTTTTCTTAGCGAATTTTTTATTGATCGAGTCCCTGGGCAGTACAAAACATACGGACAAACTCCTTATGTAATAGCAAAAGACGCTGTAACAGTAGACCGCCGATATGAGATTTTCTATTAGTTGAATGATGGTGAGAATATTGTCCGTAACTTACTGATAAATCTTCAAAATGAGAGTGCCAATTGGTTCTTCGACTGTTTATGGAGACTAAATAATGTGTATCAATGAAATTCCTAAATTTAAGTCGGACTCATCCAACTTCATTTTCAGCAAAGATAAAACGTGACACTGTTTTAAACACTTTGACGTTATAATCCATGTGCCGTAAGGTGATACAATACATTGCATAAAATCTCATAATTTGTTTATTTATGCAAAAATATTTATCTGAAATTTGTTATGTATATTACTTAAATATTTACTAAATAATAGTGAAAATTTCAGAACGCAGTGATGTTTATTTCTTACACTATACAACTTGTCCACGATTTTACGGGACAACCCTCGTACATAGGGCGGCTTGGAGACGGTCATCTATTTTCTTTTTAGGTTCATGCATGTCATGTATTCTTATAAGTTATTTATTTATTTTTAAATATTTTTTTTGCATTCATTATTTTTTTTTTAAATTTTAAAAATGTAATTTCTTTTTCTCTACTTGCCATTCACCAGAAATTGTAGAGGGGCTAGCCACTGTGAAATCTGATATACTGAAAGAGTTGAAATCGGCAGAGCTAAGATTACTACAAGAAAAGGGAACGTCATCAGTCAGTAAAAGTATGTATACATGTAATAATTAGAATCACTTTGATGTTTTTTCTAAACTGTGTTTAAGAAATTTAAAAAATGAGTGGTATTTTAAATGCAAAAAACCATAAATTTACGTATAGATAAGAAATAATCAAATTGTTCTGTTTCGTGTTACAGGCGGGACTGATTACGGCGATACTTTTACTAGCGATACATCAAAGTACACAACGAGCAAATCAACAACTATAAAATTCAAGTCTAACTTACACAGCTCTCACTTCTCTATGCATGCGACAAGAGACAACAAATGCTGGTTATTGGTTCCTGACTGCAGCTTAGAACCCTCCAATGGTTCCTTTAAAATAAAACAGCTTTCCATTTTATATCTTCTAAGTGAAAGCGCTGTCGACAAAGAAATTAAAATACTCGAGGAGTATGACAGTGGATTATTTCTACATAACATAACAGTCAATGACGACGGCGAGGCTGTATTTGTTTCAGAAAATTCACTAATAGCTGCTGGGGAGAATGGGGTGGTCCGCAAACTGTTTGATTTTCCTGAAATATATACAATGATTAACAAGGTATGCTTTATGCATTCTGGTGAATATATTATTTTTGGTCCATCTGGATTGTTCCTTGAATATAGTAATAAAGGACATTTGCTGAGGAAATGGAATTTACCTGCAATCTCTACCTTAGCTTTTCAATCGAATTTTTATCAAAATAGTAACGATGACGTTGTCATAACAGACGAAAATACCTGGGAAAAATCCGGGGATTTATACTTTTTTGACAATGATTTTAAATTGAAGAGCAAAGTCAAGCTGACAAATTGTGGAATAATAACTCCGGTTTTCAACACAACTGGCCATTTACTTCATGGACATGACCAGTTAATTGACCTACTAGACAGTAAAGGTCAATTTATCCAGACTATTTATAAAAAACACAGGCTTGACGAGATAAGCAACATTGCCTGTAATAGTAGTGGCACAGTTTGGATTCTATACACGTCTAAAGAAATTGACATATTAAAACTGGAAAACATTTTATAATGTAAAAAAAACAAAATGCCCGATATTGCAAATATTTATGAACACTCTTTTTCTTAGGTAAAAGATTTAGGATGACAGTGCATAAATCATTCATGAACCAAACAATCAAAGTATGTAAAAACATATGTATGTATAAATTGACGTGTTATCTGTTCAAGATTTTTTTTGCATTGCCTATCTGAAAATTTGACAAAAATCTCATGAACCTTGTTTCATAATTTAAATAGTTTTTTGGAGGGGGGGGGTACTAAGAAAGGTTTTTTTTAATTTGGTAATTCAAGGGAAATATATTTTTTAATAAATATTGATATTCAATTTAAATTATTTTTTTCTACTTTCGTGTCCTTTTGTGTCTTATGAGTATTTTTCAGTTTTAATTACAGTTGACTACATGTATAATCATAACATCTCATTCTGATGTCAACTGCTTAAAATAGTTTTTTTCTGATATTTAGTTGTAGTATTACATGTTTTGAAATTGATATATTGTTTTTCTATACTTTTCTGTTGCCTGGGCTTGTTTGTATAAACAGACCACTTAGGTTAAATCATTTATTGCCATTTTATAACTGATTCGATAGCTTTTTATTTAAATGTATCCCTTTTGATATTTTAATTTCTAAACTCTGTTTTCTTGTTTATTTTGCACATTTTTTGTATACATGTACATGTTTGAATGATGAGCGTATTATTTAAAACTATTTAAACGTGTTTTGATGCTTCTAATTTTTTTTTTTATCTCTGCTTACTTGTATATTTTGCTCTTTTAAAATACATTTTTGAATAATAAGCGTTTTACTGTAAACGTATTACATTTGGCTGTGTATTCTTTTTAGCGCTTTTACATGTATATTTAAAAACATTGAAAACAGTGTAAAAATCCCAAGAGAATGACAATTATGCACTTTTTTCATATAATACCAAGAAATACAAAACA